TACTGTTATCATGAAGGGGTATACAAAAATGTTTAGGTAGGTATATGCTGGGAACACCCTGTGTTTTGAAGATGCTCTGACCGGTAGTCTGTCTATCACAATGTGGCCCTTATGAAAGTCAGTCCGTTCCTTAATGCTTCCTGCTTCCAACACATAATCAGTGTTTTTCACTTCACCTGCAGGTGAAGTGTTGTGCTGATCAGAGAGACATTTTAATCATAAACAGAGGACTGCAATTTTGAGAAAGTAAACTTTGCATTTTCCTTTTGTGACATTGGGAACACTGGCCCTAGCTGTGTCATAGACTGAGATTATCTTTCATTCATTGTTTGTCCTGTTCACTAGACTCACCTACTGTTCTGGCAGACCTGAAAAATTTGTTGTTGTTCAGTTCAAATTTTACTTACAAAAGAAAAAAAGTTTTTATTTTTGTTTGTTTGGTTTTTATATATATAACTGGTCTCCAAATTTCCCTACCAGGTCGCACTAAATGTTTTGTACATTTCGATTTCTCTACTTGTGTTTGTACATATGTTTTTTCTGAGTAGATGTTTGCTTGAGAAGTCTTATGTTTCTATGATTGTTATGTACTAAAAATGACAACAATAAAATGTACTTCATTTAGCATTATTTGAAGCTAAGGCTGTGACTGATATTTTATTGGCCTTGTGTTATAGGAGCAGTCATAGATATTTTATATCATAATTAATTTCAATACGGGGTTGAAAGTAGTTCAAAATCATTGTACATAAAACTTTTTCACAGTTTTTCTTTCTACAGTCAAAAACTGTAAAATAAATTACTTATAATAAAAAAATGTAGGGAACTACATTTTTGTGTCCTCGTGTTCAGTGATTGTTTCATATTGCCAAGAGGATGTTAACTAATGTAGGCCCTTATAATAATAGGCATGATGAATTGTGCAGTGTAAACAGCTTTATATAATAGTAGACTTCAGGAAGAACCCCTCCCCTCTGCTGCATCTGACCATCAAAGGGATTGAGGTGGAGAGCCACAAGTTCCAGGGCCTGCAGGTGACATCTGACCTGAGCTGGTCACTGAACACAGCTGCCACAGTGAAGAAAGCCCAGCAGCAGCTATACTTCATAGGGCAGCTCAGAAAAGCTGGTCTGACCCGTTGCCCTCTCACCCAGGCTTATAGAGGACTGGTAGAGAGCATCCT